AGCTGAAGATGTGAACGCACAGAATAGCAGAATTCTTATTCAATGTGCTCCCGGATATACCAACACAAATATTCAAATGTCGAATGGCGTAGAAACGACAGTGTCCGGTGATCTTCCGATGTACAAAGTCGAATTAAAATTTAAACCGTCTTCTGACAATAGTAAAGAACATGTCATTAAGGTTCTTGGCGGGTCGGACAAATTATCCCCAGATGAATTTTTTGTGAGAACAAGATATCATCAAACTGTTTTTGATACGATGCTCATCGCTCATTCTACTGGAGATTTTTGTCTCATTGGCGAAAAGGGAGTTGGAAAAAGTGTCCTTATTAGATATTTTGCAAAGAACCTTGGGTAATTATTTCCCATCTTTCATATTTATTCATTTTACCCTTCTTAACTTATTAATATGTGTTCCCTTAGTTACAAAATTGAGTATATCCCATTATATAAGGATATGTCGGCGCGTGATCTTTTACAACGCAGGGGTACCACATCTTCGGGTGATACTACCTGGGAAGATTCGCCTCTGGTGAAGGCAGCGATTGCGGGTAACATAGCCTTAATGGATGGAATCGATACATTATCGTACGGTGCTCTGGTTACCTTGCAACGATTAGTAAATGAACGCGAGATGACGCTTCCTAATGGGAAGCAATTAATTCATTCAATGAGGTATAAGAAATTGATAGAAAAGCATGGATTTACAGATGAGACATTAAGAAGCAAAGCCATATTTCCTGTGCATCCTGCTTTTCGGATTGTAGCATCGGGAAGGCCTCAGAATAGTGTTGAAGGAAAGCAGGGATCATGGCTTTCGCCAGAGATCGTATCAATGTTTCAATTTGTTGTTGTCCTTCCACTGGATCATCAGGTATTATTGTCTTTATAACGATGTGAATATTCTAGCGCGGATCTATTATTTATCTCTTATAAACCCCAGGAAGAAGTTCAAGTTCTCAAAACGCTATCTCCCGGGATCAACGATGATAGGCTTGCCTTGCTTTTGAACTTTGCCAACCATCTTCGAAATTCTACTGACGAAACAATAGGCTCACTATCCGACTCTTTGTCTACACGGTACGAAATATATACCGTCCAATCGCCGTCCCTAATATTAGCGATAAAAGTGAATCACTTCATTTTTAATTTTTTTTATTAGGCAACTCATCCGAATATGTCGTCGTCTCACCCTTTTCCCAGACGAGAGCCTCTATCAAGCTATCCACAAGGTTTCTCTTTCCCGATTTCTTCCGTCGTTGGTCAGATCCGCATTGGAAGAATTGATGATAAAAAATGGAATCTTACCACCATCCGAACCAGTTAATATTGAACGGGTACCTGAGGATTTTTTCCATCAGCTCGATCTTTCTAGCATTTAGTCAGGTTATTATTAAGATAAATTACTTTGTAACAGTTAAAAATCGAGGTACTCCCTTCACCCGATGATCCTCAAATACTTTGTATCGGGGGTGTGGAGCAACCAATAGCAGAAGGATCGAATTCACTTTTAATCCCAGACGTTGTTTTTCATGAAAATCCCAAGCAAACAGAGATTCTCATGCAAATGTTGCAGGATTATCAATTAGGTGCTTGTCCGCCTTGATTTATTTTCCTTATATACTAATAATAATCGGGTCAGCTAACATTCATTAATATTGATTAATGCTGATCTTATTTATGATTAACTATACAGGTGAACATTTGTTGTTGATCGGAAATCAAGGAGTTGGAAAGAATAAGCTAGCAGATTACTTCTTGCAACTGTTGAAATTGCCCAGGGAATATATTCAGTTACACCGGTAATCCTTAAACTCATGTTTGGAATTACTGTACTGCAGCATCCATATTCTCACATATGCTACTTTTCCTTATTGAAGTGATACCACAGTACAAAATTTGACTGCCATGCCATCAATAATAGATGGAATATTACAATATGATGATTCCCCTTTGGGTAATATTTTTATCATTAAAAAGTTAATGTTTGTTCTACAATTTGCTGATACAATAACTTGATACCTAGTCAGAGCCGTAAAGAATGGTAGGTAGAAGTATGACTCTTTCCTTGCTTTATTTTATTTTTATTTTGTTCATATTATATTTTATACACACATATATATTATGTTCTAATTTTTTTTAAATATATATATATATATACATTCAAGGATACATACTAGTTGTGGACGAAGCTGACAAAGCTCCCACTTATGTCACAGCAGTGCTCAGGAATCTTTTGGAGGATGGCCAAATGGTACTGAGTGATGGAAGAAGGATAGTTTCTTCCTTGTCATCTAAAGATTCCAGAGAAGAATGTATAGAAATACATAGAAATTTCCGGGTCATCGTATTGGCAAACAGACCAGGTGAGAAGCTGCGGAGCGCGGTCATTTGATGAATTAACACTTGGCTAAAATATTTTTGCATCCGCTTTATATTAGGCTTTCCGTTCTATCTAGATCCTTTGGTTGACTTATCTGTAAATCCCATTTATTCTATAGGGAAAATTGGTTATCGAACA